CCTCAGATGATGCCAACCCTGAAACAACATACAGAACTACCACATTTTGCTATAAGTTTGATTGCATCATATAATAATTGCTGTTAATAGTGTTCATTGTCTGTTTGATTATGTCTTTAATTGATTTTCCATACATTTCTGCCATATGTACATTAACTGACAGTCACCACTGATAAGCTACTACTAAATATTGTAGAAACGTAATTTTCTGTAAAGTTGCTTTGCAACGATTTGTATCGTAAAAAGTGCTATACAGATGAACTTGATTTGAATTGAAAACTTGAATGTAAACTCAGAATTCCAAGAAAAAAGTGAGAATTGTGAGAATTCCAAGAAAAAAGTGAGAATTGTTAGATGTCAACTCAAAATTCCAAGAAAAAAGTGAGAATTGCGGGATGTAAACTCAGAATTCCAAGAAAAAAAGTGAGAATTCCAAGAAAAAAAGTGAGAATTGTGAGATGTAAACTCAGTATTAGTGGCATCCAATCGCCACATAGAGGCTAGGTAGTGGGCTCGTGACTCGTTCGCATTTGGTCATTATCTCATCAAAGGAAGACTGACGATCTTAACTTGCTTTTGAGTTTTATTAAAGCACATGAAACATTAGACCAGTGCAATACGGTCAACAGAAAGTTGGCTCCCGCTCCTCGCCCCTTCCAACCTGCCAAACAATCCGACAAAGGAAATATTAAAGAAAACGGAAGTGATCACCTGTGCCCACGTGACTATGAATAACCAATAAGAAATAACAGACAATTAATGCTCTTACACTCAGAATTCCAAGAAAAAAGTGAGAATTGTGAGATGTAAACTCAGAATTCCAAGAAAAAAGTGAGAATTGTGAGATGTAAACTTAGAATTCCAAGAAAATGTCAGAATTGCAAGAGGTAAACTTAGAATTCCAAGAAAAAAAGTCAGAATTACCAGATGTAAACTCAGAATTCCAAGAAAAAAGTGAGAATTGTGAGATGTAAACTCAGAATTCCAAGAAAAAAGTGAGAATTGTTAGATGTCAACTCAAAATTCCAAGAAAAAAGTGAGAATTGCGGGATGTAAACTCAGAATTCCAAGAAAAAAAGTGAGAATTCCAAGAAAAAAAGTGAGAATTGTGAGATGTAAACTCAGTATTAGTGGCATCCAATCGCCACATAGAGGCTAGGTAGTGGGCTCGTGACTCGTTCGCATTTGGTCATTATCTCATCAAAGGAAGACTGACGATCTTAACTTGCTTTTGAGTTTTATTAAAGCACATGAAACATTAGACCAGTGCAATACGGTCAACAGAAAGTTGGCTCCCGCTCCTCGCCCCTTCCAACCTGCCAAACAATCCGACAAAGGAAATATTAAAGAAAACGGAAGTGATCACCTGTGCCCACGTGACTATGAATAACCAATAAGAAATAACAGACAATTAATGCTCTTACACTCAGAATTCCAAGAAAAAAGTGAGAATTGTGAGATGTAAACTTAGAATTCCAAGAAAATGTCAGAATTGCAAGAGGTAAACTTAGAATTCCAAGAAAAAAAGTCAGAATTACCAGATGTAAACTCAGAATTCCAAGAAAAAAGTGAGAATTGCCAGATGTAAACTTAGAATTCCAAGAGAAAAAAGTCAGAATTGCGAGATGTAAACTTACAATTCCAAGAAAAAAAAAGTCAGAATTGCGAAGTGTAAACTTAGAATTCCAAGAAAAAAAGTCAGAATTGCCACAGAAGTACACTCAGAATTCCAAGAAAAAAGTGAGAATTGCCAGATGTAAACTTAGAATTCCAAGAGAAAAAAAGTCAGAATTGCGAGATGTAAACTTAGAATTCCAAGAAAAAAAAGTCAGAAATGCGAGGTGTAAACTTAGAATTCCAAGAAAAAAAGTCAGAATTGCCAGATGTACACTCAGAATTCCAAGAAAAAACTCAGAATTGCCAGAAGTAAACTCAGAATTTCAAGAAAAAATTGAGAATGTTTTATATGACCTTTTATCACATACTGCTTGTGTTTGTGTTAGCATTTAGCTGAATTCTGTCTAGCATTAGCGTCTAGTTAAATAACACTAGGTTCATACATAGAATAACTGTTATAGCTTCGGCCTCGCATTCCCTGCAAAGTTTTTTCAACTGACAACGCCGAACGAGAACAATCACAAGCTACTCCTTTTCCATGAGGCAATGTAAGCAGAATTAGCCAACAATGTTTGAAAATCCACCATCATCCAGGCAATCTGACTCACGTACTATAATTTCAGATGCACTAATTCGTGGATAGTACGCAACTTGGGACACAGGGTGAGTCTCTGTGTTCATAATGCGTCAGTAACATGCAAATAATGACCAAATTGTCTTAAATCACTGACATCTGGGGTTATCCAAAGGGTCAGAAGTTCAGCATGCTGCCGCCTTGACCAGCAGTATTTACAGATGCTTTTTTGTCTGGGGTTGCCACTTTGTTTTGGTGCGTGTGCATTAAGCCGTGATATTTTACGACTCCATTGTGTTCAGCCTTGTGTCTGCAGGCACTGTCTCTTCCTCTTTGGGGTAGAAAGCAGGTCAAAGCTTAAGCAAGACATCTCTGTTAAGTGATGCATTGTTTGGGTTTTGTCTGTAGGAAATAGCTGCTGAGATCACTATAGAAACCTTTGCTTGAAATACAGTTACAGGAAGGCAACCAAATTCAGAGTGACAAAGAACCATCGGGCAAAGAAACAAAGGTTTTTCAAACTTTAGATTTCACAAAAGCTGTCGGCTGATCAGAGTAACTTAGAAAGAGAAAGCATGTCTGGATGTGACTCATATATTCACTTATTGTTTGAACATGAAAACTGGAGTACTGGAAGCTGAGATACTTAACACAAGCAAAAGAAACGTTAATTGACCTTTTGCCTTCTATAATATAAAGTCAAAAGACAAGAAAGTGCTGGATGGGATAAGGGCATATCGCGGGCAGGATTCAAACCTTCGTCCTCTTGAGAGCAACAGCAAAAACGTGTACTACCCACTGTACCACAGATCTCATAAAGATACATTCTATAGTACTTTTTTATTTTTTTATCTTTTTATTTTTTTATTTTTATATTTATTCATGTCTGCAATGCTAAACGAGTCTGCTTTCGGTGGTCACAAATCAGAAACAAGGTCTAGGCTAAAAATACAGCCCCCCCCCCCCCCCCCCCC